CCTCCCGGTGGTTGCAACAGAGCCTCCGGTGCAGGTATGCGTGTCTCGACAGACGGACGAGTCGGTCACGCGCACCCGACAGTGGCTGACTCAGTCTCAGCTACACGTGCCACCAGTGGATACGGCTCCCGTCAGCGCTGTGCCTCCACCTGCAATGCGTCTGCAGCGCCCGTCCAGTGACGACACGCGAGCGGTCCCGCATCTGCCGCGCATTACGCTGGAGAAGTTCGGCGGCTCTGCCATCGAGTGGCCGCGGTGGATAGCCCTCTTCAAAGCGCTGGTGCACGACCGCGCTGATCTCACCGATGTGGAACGGCTAACCTACCTGCAGACTCACCTGACGGGGCCGGCGAAGGAGTCTGTGCGCGGCATGCTCTGCGACGCCAGTCTCTACAGCACCGCCCTGGGTGAGCTGGAACGAGAGTTTGGTGACCCGTCCGGTGTGATACACGCCACGATGAAAAGACTGCTCACAGCGCGGCCGGTGAAAGATGGCGACCTGTCAGCGCTGACAGAGCTGTCTCGTGAGCTCCACACCGCGGTGAACGTCCTACAGTGTCTGCACTACGAGCACGACCTCGCTGCCGCCACGAACGTCACCGCTGTGACTGGGAAGCTACCAGCCTCCCTCGCCTGGAGGTGGGGCGAACACATGGTGGAAAACGGCATCACTCGTCCGACGCTCGTCGATCTCGACGAATGGCTTCGCCGTCATGTGTCAGCTGGTCGGTTGGCCTTGAACGTGACCACCAAGCAGCTGATGAAGGTCGAGGCTAATGACTCTGAGTGCCGCCCGAGACGCGTGTTTACCACCGCGTCGGCGCGGCCCACGCCGGTGGCTGTAAAGCGGGAGAGGACAGCTGCCATAAAGTCATCAGCGGACGGACGCAGTGACTGGTGTACCATGTGTCAGCAAACACACGAGCTCCAGCACTGTGACGAATTTCTCGCGCTGACTGTGAGTGAGAAGGCAGAGTTCGTCGGCAGAAACGGACTGTGCTTTAACTGCCTGGGTCGCGATCACATCAGCGCCACGTGTCCCAGTGATGCACGATGTGACGCGGAGCACTGCGGCAGGCGTCATCACACGCTGTTACACAATGGAGGACGAGTGTTTCCGCTGCGCGATTCCGATGATAGTACGCCGTCATCTGCCAAACATGTCGGCACCGCATCGGCCGAGCCTCGCAGTGATATTCTCCTGCAGGTGGTGCCCATCACCGTAAATGGGCCGGCAGGTAGCCGCACCACGAACGCGCTCCTGGATCTCGGGAGTCAGATCACACTGATCACCGACGACCTGTGTGACCGACTCGGCATCTCGGGGCCCACCGACAAATTGGTGCTGAGTACGCTGAGTGGGACCCAAACGACGACGTCACGACGCGTATCCCTCGCCGTCGAGGCTGTGGGCGGCGACGGCAGGGCACATCGTATACGAAACGCCCAAACGACGCCGACGTTAAACGTGTCAGCCAAGGCCATGGTCTGCACAGTAGCAAAGGAGAAATGGCCGCACCTTGCCGATCTGGATCTCCCCAGCGCCACCCACGGCCCAGTGGAGGTGCTCCTGGGAACCGACGTCATCGAACTTATTGTGCCGCGGGAAGTGATTGAGGGACCGACGGGAACGCCGTGCGCCGTAAGAACGCTGTTGGGATGGACGGTGACCGGGCGGGCGTCGGAACGCTCGGTGCTCGATGGTGAACACGTTGTCAATCACGTTCGTGTCAGTGATAAAACGAGTGCAGTCGCTGACCTTCACACCCAGAAATCATCAGAGACGACCCAGTGGTGTCACGCAGCCGAGCCGCGGGGCCCGGCCGATATCTTCAGCAGAGGCGGCCCGGGGACGGACCTCGCCCCCGGCGGACCGTGGATACGAGGTCCAGCTGCGCGGTCCGGCCCGGCCGCCCTCTCCGACGACGAGACGAGGGTGACGGCGTGCGTCACCGAGCGAGCGGAGCCGGTCGTAAACGGCAGTGACTTCTCGTCCTGCCTCATGGACTCCGGCGGCCTGCTCAGAGTATGTGGCCGTCGCTGGAAGCGGAAGAACACGCAGCCGCAGGATCGCTCCTGGCGACGCCGGCGGCGAGAGTGTCTCCCCGCGCACGCCGACCGCACACTGCATGTCGATCATGGACCCGACCGAGGTCAGGGTTGGCGAACTAGTGCGACTGACCGACGTAAACGTACCACGGGGACATTGGTCGGTGAGATGAGCGGAGTGTGTGACCCTGGTGTGGGCGGTCTTATTCCCGCCGTTGACGTGACGACTGATACCGGCCAATACAGGCGGCCTGTCTCTCGTCTCTGCCGTCTTGAGTGCGACGGCGACGGACAGTAAATGGACTCGGAGAGATAATATGCGCGCACGTGGGACGGCTAAAGTGAGTCGTCTACGACCGCACTGTGCCGCCGACGAGCAGTGTGGAGATCGGAGCGTTTATTAGTGTTTCCTGCGCCCACCATTCGCGATGCCAACGTGTGTGTGTGTGCGTGTGAGAGTGAGCCGCTCACTCTGTCCGCGGTCAATGGTCATTTGTGTTTAGTGATCAGCCATTAGCTATCAACTGTGAGCCGTGTGACGATGCTACGCGTTCACTGTGACAGTGTCCCTCCCTGCCCACTTGGCCGGTCGGTCTACGAATGAGCTAGTTTACGACCTTAGAGTGCGCAGTGTTAGATTAGTCTATGGTACCACGCCCATGTTAGCGCTATAGTTCGTTTTTTTTCAAAAGGACGCTGGCTCCAAGTGCATTATCGAAGCACTCACGTGAGTTTTGGCAGCTTCAGCGTCTGGCCAAGAATTTCTTACCGAAAAAATATCCGATTTCAAATTGTGCAAGGTAAGTACCCGGAAATTGTGTCTTGAAAAATTAGCATACTATGATGACGTCACTGGTGGCAGCAGGCACCCAATGTCCGTACGATGGGACAAAGTTTTGACGAATTTGGGGGAGACTTCGTTTTTCACTGTTGCCGAGGTTATAATCGAGTAAGCGGTTTCGTCCATGATCGTTTACGTTACATTGCAATACAAGTTCGACAGCATGACGTCACATGTCTGGCTCCAAAACGAACGTATGGAAATTATCGGGAATACTTCACATGTTAAAATAAGGCGACGTTTGAGTTTCTCAGGTTCAGTTTTTGAACGTTTTGCTCGCTAAAACGCGTGCTTTTTCGGAAAACATACTTGGAGCCAGAGTCCTTTTGAAAAAAAAACGAACTATAGTTTCTGTTCGCGTCCGCTCCGTTCGGTAATGCAATGTGTGTTATGTGTTGTACGCTGGGTGCTGGGTGTTTGTGTGTCGGCAATGTGACGGCACTGTCACTGCCGCCAGTGCCTCTCGAGCGAGTGTTCGTAGTTAACGACATGCGTCAGTGCGTGACAACGGTGACAGTGACCGGCGGCCGGGACCGCGCCGTCGTATAGTTTTACGACTGGGCGCGTGATTGTTGTCAGGAATGACCTCCGCCCGGCCAGACTCTGTAGTGCGTAATGCGTATTGTATGTGAGTGTATGTATATCGCGCATGTTGAACGGATCGTTACGAGTGTGTGCGTGCGTACGAGACGCTTGAACGATTGCTCGCTAGTTGTTGGATTTTCCGCGGATGATCGCGAAAAACCGGGCCGGCTATGTTAGCGAGCAAATAGGCATTTTTGATATCTTCGCAAAGACGGCCGGCGCTCGGAGCGCGGCGGTCGGTCCGCCGCGCCACGCCGCTCACATATGTGTCATCTGGCCCCTGTCCTGGTTCTCATGCCCACGTGTTGTGCGTACCACGAGGGCTGAGACGGGACGGGGGCCTGACAGTCTTCGACGGGAATCCACCGGTGCGCGACGGCCCGGTGCACGACGTGGCCGACGTGGCCTTACGTACGACGCGGCCGACGTGGCCCTACGAGAACGATTCAGTGAACCGCATTTGTGACCGCCGTATTTTGTGCATTTTAATCGTTTCCGTTTCATTCAAGAATAGACTTTTACTTATATGAACAATAACTTTATGGTCCTCCGGGTGACGAAAGAGAACGAGTGAACGATCACGAGCACGCACGAACATTTCCGTATCGAACGGGTGAACTGAACGATTCTCACGAACAATCATGTTAGTTTTGATCACAGATGATGTCTTTAAGCATTTAGACCAGGTCGGGTCAGGTCAGGTCAGGTCAGCCAGTAGGGGTCGTGACGGGTATTCGTAGTACGTGTCAACCGCCTCTGACAGCTTCGTAACATGTTACGAAGTCACCAAAACTACTTCGTAAATGTTCAAATGGTTGCTAAATTCGAATTCAGCTCCAAAAACTAGCCTAGAAACATGTAAAACTCGAAAAAGTGAACCGAGGTCACCAAAGGTCAAAGACCTGACCTGACCTTCAGGTGACCTTGACACCCACCCTAATGCATGGGATCAAATCACATGTCTGAACGTTTGAAACCACGAAAAGCTGGCAAACGCGCGGCTAATGCGAGCCGACATACGCGGAATCGCGATTCCGGCCAAACATGGTCCCGCAAAAGAGGTCACAGGTCAAAGGTCATTTGGGTCAGGGTCATGAAATTTTCAGCGTAGGTGTAAAATTGAGCAATGCGAGGGTACTGAAAGTTTCGTCGCGATCGGCCGCTTTTTACGCGAGTTATTCGCGAAAAACCATGGGGGGTCCATCCCCCCTACACATGCGAGGGTTAAAGGTAATGAAGACATTGCTTTATAAATGATAACAATAACAAGTCAAATGTATTGTTATCATTTATATTATCATTATTATTTATATATTATAACAATATTACATTATTGTTATTGTTATCATTTATCCTAACTGTCGTGGATAAGTTACATTGCCTTATGATGACGTTCTGAGAACTTATACGGAGTTGCTGCTGAAATGTCAATAACATTTGGGCAAATAAATGTTCTTCTTACTAACTTGCTTCAAGCATGTTCGCTGTATATGTAGCTTTGACAAATAAAGCCGCAAATGAACACTAAAAGCATACTTTGTATTTCTGCATAAATAAGTTGTACAGTGAACACACTTCTCATGATCAGAGTCAAAAGCTCCGAGCAATGGCTGCTAATATTCGGCGAGAGCACGTGTCAGAGTGTCCAGCAGCCAGGGCGCCACCGCTGCCACCAGCAGCGGCACCAGCAGCGGCAGCAGCAGCACGCCCAGCAGCGCCACCAGCAGGCCGAACGCCGTGTCCAGCGTGCGCGAGTAGTGCGCCAGGTCGTTCCGCACGTTAGAGTAGTCGTACACGGCCAGCTGGTCGGCGCTGGTGCCGTCGGCGAACGCCGGAGCGCCGTAGACGGGCACGGCGGCCGGCGGCGGTGGAGGTGGTGGGGACAGACCCAGAAACCGGCCGGTCCGACCACCGAGACTGGCGGGCTGTCTGCGGGACGCCGCAGCGCTCCGTTCAGCTGGGTTAGCGCAGGTCACTGCCGGCACCAACAGTAGCAGCGCAGACAGGAGCAGGGGGGACTGCTGGGGCCGCATTCTGAAACAAACCGCCACACGTCGACCGCGTCACGCTACAAGTAACAGGATGAATCGTGACATCAGCTCAAGATTGAACCTAATTGGAACTGCATGAATGGCTAGATACCATAGGCGACGGAACGGGGAGGGCACCGGGGCACCGTGCCCCCTTTGTTTGGTATTTTAACATTAGCCCTATGGGCGTTGCATGGAAGGAATGGGACCAAAAGTCGGCAGTGCCCCCCCCCCCCCCCCTTAATTGAACGTGTTCCGCCGCTACTGCTAGATACTGTGAGCACGATGTGATAAACTACGCGCGTTATTGCAGAGTCAGAACCGTGTAGTGGTATTATCTACATGTCCATTGTTTATGCCATGAGACGAGATAGGCCATAGCGGGCTATACCAATAGGTATAAACCCAAATTTCAGGCTTCAGCTACCCAAAATAAACGGATTTGTGTCATATCATTTTTACCTATATCATAAAATAAAGCGTTGCAGCTTGCCGTGCGGCCGCTTCCATTCTTGTTATTAAATTCACGTTCACACGTATCATATCACAACAGTCTCAAGTCACGCCCTCGGTACAACTCCTGACCCCTCTCCGGTCCCTGATTCAGCAGCTCACCCTTCCAGAACTTCCCAGCATTCCCTGTTGAACCAAACCAGCAACTCACCCCTCGCGAGCTCCAGCCACTGCACCAAACCAGCAGCTCAGCCCTCGAGAGCTCCAAACACTCCCTGGTGCACCAAACTGCAGCAGCTCACCTGAACGGTCTTCTCAGCTCTCCTCCTCGACTGAAGCATCACGCCGTTCGTCCGTGTTGTTATTCCTGCGCGACCCCCGCACGCCGGTCTGTATTTGGGTCATCTAGAGGGACCGGATGGGGGGGGGGGACGGGGACGGTTTAGGGGGCTGGTGGAAGATTGACAGGACCAGGATGTCAATAAGGACGGGAACTGGGCGAGATTTTTATCTTCTTAGGCACGGTGTCTTCTCTGCCCATATATGCACCGCCGGGCCCAGTCGGGGCCGGGCCCCTCGCACTTATGGGGAAGGAGGGGACGAACCCCCCACGGTTTGTCGCGAATAACTCGCGCATAAAGCGGCCGATCGTGACAAAACTCTTAGATCCTTCGATTTCTATAACATTAACTTCACACCTACCCTGAAAATTTCATGACCCTGAGCCTGACTATAATGACCTGTGCGGCCTATTTCTTCTCGAAACCATGTTCGGCCGGAATCGCGATTCGTCGTCGGCTCGTATTATCCGCGTGTTTGCAGTCTTTTTGTGGTTTTAAGCATTCAAACATGTGAAATGATGTTGGTCCCATCACAATTGCATAATGGTGGGTGTCAAGGTCACGTGGAGGTCAGGTTAGGCCATTAACCTTTGATGACCTTGGTTCATTTTTTAGTCTTACATGTTTCTAGGCTAGTTTTGAAGCTGATTTCGAATTTATCAGCCATTTGAACATTTAAGAAGTAGTTTTAACCCGCGACCGCCTGGGGGTCGGATCCGACCCCCCCTCCGTTTTTCTTGAATAACTCAAGAACCGCTTACGCTATCAACTTGAAACGTGGCATACCTTCTCCCCCATCGATTTGACGTCTTCTGTGTAATTTTTAAGAAAAAAATTCCAATTTTTTTTTAGATATATCGATTTTAGTGATGTAACTACATGGCGTTTTTAGTCAAAAAGTGGTAAATGTTTAAAAAATCGCCAAAAATCAGGTTTTAAAGCAAATTGCAAATTAAGGACATGAATAGACGCAGCTGAACGAGTTCTTTAAAATAGCTATCTCGGATTTTCAATAAAATGCGTTTTTCACCCCTAAAAATTCAAAAAACTACATTTTTTGGAAAACAGCTAATAAAATCCAAAATTTTGAGAATTTCCAAAAAACCGGAATATATGTTATAGAGCTCTATTAGAACATTAGATGTCCCAAATTTCAACTTTCTATCTTGATTTTTGACCCCCAAATTGTAAAAAATAGCTCCAACATGCATAGGGCATGGTGACGTCATAAGCATTTTTGTGAATTAGAGGCACTTCTGAACATCGCATGTGAAAACAAATGGCACCACTAGATTCCTGGGACAAAGCTCGTCTAGAAAAGTGCATTTTTATGTCAAAAATAAAAAGTTGAAAAATTGACCTTTTTTTCTCAGCCCTCGTTTAGTTATGTATGGTAGGTATAAACGATTTTTATGCTTTCAATGCACACTTATCACCAGCACAGTGACTTGGGGTCACTTATAACCACTACCATCGGATTCGGCGTGAAAAATAAGCCATAAAACATGTGTCGCACGCCCATGTAGCAGAAAGTGAAAACCGTTTACCTTTCGTGACCTGACCAGTGACCTGACCTTGACCCGTACTTAGTATGACCCCTATACGCACATGGTACCTTCACTAGGCCTTTGAGGTCATTTTTGGTGAGTTTCGAGCAGCAGCTATCAATTCCGCTGTCCGTAAGCCTAATCATGCAAAACCCCAGAATTTGACCTTTGACCTGACCTTGACCCGAAAGTTGACCTCAATCTTAAAATCTTAAGAGTGCTTTGGGAAGGTCTCGTAGAGACCTTTCGAACGTCGCCTCGCGGGGCTCGATGAGACCATTGGTTCTCGAGATAACGGGGGGGGGGGTTGGATCCGACCCCCCCCCCCCAGGCTGTCGTGGCTACGGAAATAGCCCAGGCGGTGCCGGGTTAATGCCTTCGTAGCATATTATGAAGCTCTCAGCGGTGTTTGACACCTACTATGAATACCCGGCAGGACGCCTATTGGTTGACCGGACCTGATCTGACCCGACCTGGCCTAAATGCATGAAGACATCATGCATGATCAAAATTAACATTAAATTCGTGATCAGCGCCCCGAAAACCCAATGAAGCCTCACTACGAACTACGAAGTTCTGACAGGTCCGGATTTCCCCGACTTTTATGTCATGGACCTGACCTGGAAGGTCAACCAACCGGCCTTAAAATTGGGTATCATCGGCTTTCTGTCATCACGGGCAGCACGCTCGTTTTTTCCGCGAAGCTTTAGTTCGACCACAGGCCGAACGGCAAAGGTGTGGGGGGGGGGGGGGAGGGTCCAACGGACCCCCTCGGCCCTCCCCCTATACGTTCGCGGCTGGCAAAACATCAACACGGACGAGGGCAAGGGGAGGAGACAACCGCGAGAAGTTGGTCAGGTGTTCGCGGACTAGAACTGTAGGCAACCGGAACATTTATTCGCAAGATGATTGGAAATATATTTGTTTGAAAGGGGTCCTTTTCCAGACTCCCTATCACTCCCGATTGCAGGTATGTGTTGGTAGTCTATCACGTTTATGCCGTGACCCAAGCTGTCCATCACATTGTAGCAGATTATATAAATTAACTTTTAAGTATTTTTAAAGAACTTTTGTTGTGGAACAATGGCTTGTTGTTTTTATTTTTGGCATTACACTAGCTTTGAAAGGCACTGTTTTATATTGTTGAACACGTACTTTATTTTTGTGGTCGTGTTTTAATTGGTTTGCTGCAGTAAATTTGCGGCAGTTATTGTGAGACCGAGACAAAAGTGGTGAGCGAGGACAATGTAATTTCTGTATATTGCTATGCGCCCTAACCCAAACCCAACAAGTACAAGTAAGTAATTTCTGTATATTCTTTACTTTTTCGTAAGCTTTTCACATAAAACAATGGATACATAATTTATGAGTCGCACTGTAACGCATTTTCTGCATTAGGCACACATTTATTCACTGCCTGCCGCCTGGTCCTGATATCAATATTGATATGACAATTCAAATTGCAATGGGCAAGGACACCTAATGTGGATCGAGCCTCATCGAGGAGAAGGTAGGTAATATTTGGAAATACTGGATTGGGTTGTTATTTGTGCATTGCAAAATAATGGTAAGTAATTTTAATTTTCATTGTCTGTGTGAATCAGGTGTGTCTCATTTGCAACTTTTACTCTTCTGATGTTTTATTGAAAAAGGAAATAGGTATTGTTTAAGCCTGTCTTATTGTTTCAACTGCTTAAATGGTACATGAAGTCTCAATAGCTTTTATCCTGGCCAGCTGAAAATTGAACCGTGTCCTACTTTTCAGAAATACTACACAAAGAAACTAAGAAAGCTGAAAGAAGTTAACTCTGCCAAGCTAGATTTATTGTGTAATCATGATGTTCAATTTCGGTAAGTCCTATACACCAACACTAGAATGGATTCAAAAGTTAGCCAGGGCCCTGTTTCACCGGTTATAGCAGCACGCTGCTATCAAATTTCGCGAGCTGACGTAATGTGATGACGCCGCACTAATGATGTTTCATGTAATCCATGAGCTTTTTCATAGCTACTCACCTGGTTCACTCACCTGGTGGGGTTCCCAATCTCACGTCTGCAGACAGGAAGGAGTAGGCAAGGATACAGTAGGAACCCGCAGACACAAGGCGCACCAGTAGTTGCTGCTACCGGAGTGGAGCGCCTGCACATATGTTTGCGCGAAAACAGGCATGGTTCAAGATGCAAACAAGAGTAGTTATGTTGTACATAATTGATGCAGGAGAAAGACAAAGATGAAGACAATGCTACTTTAAATGTGTCCATGGTACAGTACATTTCGCAAGACGGAGAACAAAACAAGGCGGTTAGTGAAAGTCATACAGAGCATCGCCTAGGGCTTCCGCCAGCAAACCCTTAAAGGTTTTGTAGTTAGGTTCCATTACGACGTGCTCCGGGAGGGAGTTCCATAGTCTCACACCGCGCACCGAGAATGACCTACGCCTGACATCAGTCTGCGAACGGGAATGGAAAATCTTAAAGCAATGTCCGCGCATGCCTAACTGAGGAGGTAGAGTGAACAAGTCAGCGGGGGACACCGCACATTTGTCATGGAACACCTTCCAGTACTGAATCATATCAATCAGCCCTTAGCAGTCTGCCTTGACTCTTGAGTTGAGTACAAGTTCAGCGATGAGAGCCGGGACTGATAATCCAGACTCGACAGGCCAGCGATATGCTTGGTCCTGCGACGCTGGACCGACTCCAGAGCGCGCAGGTCCCCCAGGTACCCAGTGTGCCACACACACGAGCAGTACTCGATAACTGGTCTTATGTGAGTACGGAAAAGTGTCAGCATAAAGTCCGGAGATCGGCACACCGTGCTCCTCAGGAGGTTTTGAGAAAGACCTGCGGCCTTGTGGACAGTAGCGGATATGTGGTCGTGGAATTTGAGGCTCGAGTCCACCAGTACTCCGAGATCCGGATGGGAGGGGACAACTCGAATCGGGGAATTATCGATGTCATACACTGGAGGTGGAAGAGATTGAGATTGAGCCTTGCTCTGAAAACGTATGACCACACATTTGTCACGGTTCAGACGAAGGTCCCATGACGAAGAAATACGGTGCAGGGCAGTGATGTCCTGTTGACATAGCGAGGAGGCATGGTCATATGCGTCTGCTGAGCTGTGGGCAACTTTCATGTAAAGCTTCAGATCGTCAGCGAAAATCTTGTGACTAGATGCGAGACTGCTACCAATATGGTTAATGAAAACTAAAAACAAAATCGGACCAAGGACCGAGCCCTGTGGGACCCCACTGGACACGGGACGAGTTTTGCTCAGTACACCTTTCACTGACACAGACAGAGATCGACCAATCAGAAAATCTTCAATCCATTAGATGAGGGGCTCTGCAATGCCGATCATGCGAAGCTTGCGAAGAAGGATAGAGTGAGAGACAACATCAAATGCTTTGGCAAAGTCAACCATCACGAGGTCAGTAACACAGCCATCATCAAGCCACTTAGACACCTCGTCATATACAAGGATCAGCTGATCCTGAGTGGATCTCCCGGCTCTGAAACCAAATTGGTTATTTGTCAGCATAGAGTTCTCTCCCAGGCAGACATGTGCTTGGATCCGGAAAAATGGATCTGAGATCCAATCCCATGGATCCCGATCCGAGATCCATTCAGATCATAGATCCAACCCCTCAATTTTGTCGAGAGATCTACTGGGATCATAGATCTGACCCTTCAATTTTGTCGCTAGATACACTCGGATCATAGATCTGGCTCCCCAATTTTGTCGTGAGATCCATGGGGATCATAGCTCATAGGTGCTCAAAATGTTAACAACTTTCTTTCATAAGAAGTTATGAATACCCAAGTATGGTTAGAAACAAAAATTCTTATACAAAGGCCATATTAGTAAAGGCATCCAGTTACATTATACAGAATACAAAATAAAGGAGGCTCATGACGGCACAACTTGAGAGAATTGAGTGACATGAACATTGTTCACATACCAACAGAAAAGTTTGCATTAACAGTTAACATAGAGGTAAGTCAAAGTGATGACTAATGAACAATACATTACTAGGTACCTACCGGCTACCACATCACAATTCATGTTAGAATCTACATAATGATATTGATAAGACAATCTCAATCTTGCATTTGACAACCATGAGGCTTTCCAGTTTCCAGCTAACACAATTGATTGATAAACAATAAAAGATGATAGTGATACTGACACATGTGGCTTGGTTAGGTAAAGGTATTTCAATCTATTGAAAAGGAATATTTGATAAAATAAACTGAGATATAAACAAAAGTATAAAAATACTCAACAGCCTGCGGAAGCGATGGGAAGCGAAATATCAATTGTAATGGCCTTGGATATTTACCGTAAAATGATTATTCAGTATTTAAATAGAACTCGTGACGTCATTTCAAATAACAAATGAGCTAAGCGTTCTACCTTCGAGTATAATGAAAATAAATTAAAAATCAAACTGGAAATTCAAAAGTCTGGAGTTTTTTCAAAAGAATGTTCATTTTTTTCTGCCTCACGTAATTTCACGATACGATTGTTTGTGAATATCATCTTTGTAGCGTTGAATTTAATGACGTAAACGTAATCTGAAACGGTATTACATGGCCCTGACCCGGGTGTGCGACTTGCATCTTTATTTTATTCACTTTTCACAAGAATTACAATATCTTACGTCATTAGTTTGAAAGGCCTATTACGGGGAATCTTTTGGAATCATTGCGGTTTTAGTCAAATTGAGATTTTTCATTGGTCAAACGATAATGACGTAATAAAACAATATTACCAAAACGTGAGCTGTGAATTTCGTTTGTCTTTTTGAGAGGCTCTTTCATAACGAAAGCACAGCATGGCACCACACGCACCACACGTGTCATGATCACGGACGTATAAGTAAACTGGACTGACAATCCCAATGGACCTCCTATGGAAGATAGTGAAGCCGACAAGGCGCCATTTTACGTTGCCAAAAAACCGTGCTGTGAAAGGTCATCGAGCCAATACAATTGAAATTGCGTCTAAACGGATGATCGGATCAAGATGCTGGTGGTACCGTTCGACGCGTAATGCCTTGAGGAAGGTGATGATGCACGTCACAGGTCACCCGGTGTCACATGGCGCGTGCCACGTGCCGACAAACTTACAAAGGGCAAAAATCTTTAAGCGACGCTCCAAATCAAACGAAGGGCGGCACAGGTGCCAAACTCACAGGTCACATGTCCCAGTGTTCGACCACTAACATATGGTATGCTCGGCATCAGGGGGTGCGGAATGCACGCGCTAGGGGCGAAAAACATGTTTTGAGGAGGCATCCTCCGATTCCGGAGAACCTTTACCTAGGCACACCAAATTTGGCACACTGACACTACTGGACACGCGCTTTAAGGTGCTGTACAAATAGGTGTGCTGGGGAACACGGTGCACGTGCTGTGCACGTGCAAACCTTTTGATGTTGCACTCTGTTTCACATATGCGGGTAGGGCGGGTAGTGCTGGCAAGCTCAAAGTGCCAAATTTACACAGGCCACCCAGAATGCATTCCACCATAGTTATGAGCATATCCATCTCCTGGTGGACCTCAAAGTGCGCTCTGCACGTGCAAAAAAATTGTCCGCGCCGGGCGGTGGGGATGCTTGGACAATGGACACCCCGTGTGGATTTATGTAAATATCTCGAAAACGGCGTTGTGGAGCGCCGCCGTTTTTGGCACATCTTTTCATACATCCTTTTCACAAATGCTTCATAACTTTCAGACTTAGGTCGCTCAAGGTTAGGTCACCAGGTTATGTCCAAGTGGCCTTACCTTAGGAAAAATTATAATGCACGTCATAGCTACACAGACTAAACAATCGGTTTAAAATAGAGATGTCAATCGGATACCAACTTTTTGGTATACCGATACCAAACCGATACCAACTTGGTATTTGGTATTTCAATCGTAATGTGTTTGGTATTTTGTTGGTATCATAAGCCCTCACTAATGTATAAGAGGCTAATAAATCGGTAAAAAGTTGGTATTTCCCTCAGTTTCCCAAGTTGGTTTGGTTTCGGTATTTTCCCGTGGTTTTGGTTGGTATTTGGTTTGGTATCGGTATTCCGATTTTCCGTAATTGACATCACTAGTTTAAAAGGTGCAGCGATTGATAAGATCAACAGTATATACGTAGAGTACCTACCTCTACCTCGAAATTTCAATATCACTGACCTAGGGCTCTTTTGATTTTGCGACCTCAGACCACCAGCACGGCGAATCATTTATTTTGTCAAATTCGGGATCCTAAACTTTTTGCTACCCAGCAAGGCAAATTTACGCCTCAATCGCCGGCCAGCGCAGCATAGGCATCTTTGTTATCCACGTTGTTTGCGCCTGCAGTGATACTGTACCGCAATAACCATTATCTTCATCTTTCGCCCATAGATGGCAGTAGCCAAGCGCCTGCATCTATGCTGTGCCGCAGTGCTCTTACAATACGAGCTGAGCATTGAGCAAGCGCGGTGTAATACGATTACCTATGTGGTGGCCTGGACCGGTGACCGCGGCCAAGAAATGGTTCGAACTTGACTGAGCAGTGCACTGAGTAGCGGTAAATCAGTATTTGATATCTCACGAGACCGTGTTGGGTCAGAATCGTGATTCGGCGTAAGTCAGCCCACATTATCCGCGCGTTTCCAGTCTTTTTGTGGTTGTACGTTCGAACATGTGGAATGTTGTTGGTCCCATGCAATATGGTAGGTGTCAAGGTCACGTGAAGGGTAGGTGAAGGTCACTGACCTTTGATGACCTTGGTTCACCCTAGGAACTAACCCTAGGACATAAAGATAGGTCACAGGTGCAATTTCCCGATTAAGTTCGTCACGTT